GAAGACACATTCACCCTGGGGAGGCGTGTGTTCCACCATTTTAGACTGGGTTCCACCATTTTTAAACCTGTCTGTGCCAAACTTCTGTTCTGTTATGGACAGAGACCAGTTTCCGATTGCATACACCAGTAAAAGTGTAATGTCTGTAGCTCTTGGTAGCTTTTGAATCTTTCATCCTTAGTACTAATTTTCATGAACTAGTTCTCCTTTTTTAAGATTGGATAATGGTATGAGACCCATTTTGAGCAACTTTGCAGACTGTTCTATTGTTTCTCCAGGTACTTGATTCTGCCTGTTGGAAAAAAAATCTCGTGACGTAATGTAGGAGTAACTGCAGAGAAAGGTGGGTTCTGGCTGCTTGGAAGAGCTACCCACAACATGGTACGCATGTGACTTGCCTTGCCCTACTCTGGAATTCTTACACCTTCCTCAGGCTAGGAACCAGCAGGGGAGAAGCAAGTCAACTTAAAAAGACAAGTTGGTGATGGAAATGAATCACTAAAGAGCCAAAAAAAGCAGAGAGGAGGTTGGCATAGAAATACTATTCAGCTTTCACAATGGGGGCACTGAGGAATGCACAGAGATGTCACTTTTTTGCTGGCAAGGGAAGATGCAGTGTTCCTGTTTAAGGGAAATTAAGAAGGCCTGAAATACTGAAGAGGACTGTGGTGAACAAGTGCCATATAGAACTGAGGATCATATTGTTAAGAAGCTGGCGAACCTATATACTCACGAACTTTTCACACAGTAAGTTAGGTTAGTCATGGTGACCAGTGCTTGCAGATACCAGTTTGTTATGCCAGCCAACACTGGTGTATTCTGTTCAGTTCTTCCATAGACATAATGAGAAGCCAAACTGTTTTGGAAATGAGCAAAGACTGGGGGACAGAAGGAGAAGATAGTCATGCTGATTCCTTCTAAGAACTTGCTGTGTTGTCCCTCTATCCATATTGTATGGTTCTGTAATGTTCTGCCTATTATTATTATAAGGTTAGTATTTTTATTGAAAAATTCTCACTATGACTATCTGTCCTGCCATTAAACAAAACAGGATGGCAACAGAGCTGGAATGCATTGCTGTTTATTTGTAGAGAAACAAAATGGTGCTCAAACAACATATATTGGTATAAAAGCAGATATCATATTTTATTGCATACAACATGCCCCATAATATAATATGCACCTTGTTTTTGAAAGGCAGAATGAAGAAAAAAAGACTTTCAGAGTTATTTATGGCTGCATAGAATAGGGACAGAGACTAATTTTCAGCTGACTCATGCTCCCTTTCCTGTTTCCTACTCTAACAACTAGTTTCCTTGGTAGATTAATAATTTTGAAAAAAGTTGAGTCTCCAAGGCTTGTGAAATAGGAAGAGAGAGACCAGGAGCAGCTCAGACAGGAAAATTGCCATTAAAAAGGTTAGCTTGATTAGTGGAACACAGAGACCATTTAAAAAGAGACAATTGTTACCACCTCTAGTTTCCTGTAGAGTAATATAGTAGCTAATATACTGGCGAGGAGGAATCAAAGCAGGGGGCTTCTATCCTAGGCAGAAAATCAGATCCCCTGCTCAATACATGCATCCCAGATTTGGGGGGGCTTATTTTGGGGGTAAAGGTAACCTGTGGTAGAAAATTAAGTAGTATATGAAATGCATTGATACAACCTATATAATACTGTCCATTAAACATGCAATTGAATGCTTTATATTTCCTTTGAGTACAAATTAGAAGTCTAATTAAGCAGTAGGAGATGGTTAAACAGTCTCTCAGGGGGAAATTCTGAACCTAAGGCAACAGAAACACTAACAGCCATACAGTAAAACAGCATCTATCTCGGTGGACATTAACTAGTAACCTCTAGAGCAAGTGTGTGGTTGGAAGAAAATAAAATTCCTGTTGGTGCCTTTAGTCAGTGAATCTGTGCAGAATGGCACGTGTATAACTGACTGCAATCCTGATTTTGGGAAGGAAATAGAGGAGTTTTCTAGTAGCACAACTCTTAGACTTTCCTCAGTGGTGGGCTAAATGTGATAGAAGAACAAGCACACACTCTCTGACTCAGCCTATCCTCCCAGCAGAGCCATGGGAAAGTGACTCCCTTGTGATATAAGACGCATATTTACATGTTTAATTTCAAATTAAATGTACATGTTTGCCCAGATTCATTCCATCTGAGCCTTGCTTACTGTTACTGTGTCACTGTGAAATGTCAGTTACGTCTACTTGCAAGCAGTCATTTTTTGGTAGGTGAGAGTATAGATCAAAAGAATATTCCATATGGCCTTTGAACATCAGCAAGTCCATTCTTTGGATAACGGGCATAGAAGTTCTTTGTTTCTCTAATAAGGCTTCTTATATTCCCTGTGGAACTTGCCCAGATAGGTCAGTCTCTTCTCCCTTCTCTTCACTCTACCACACCCCCGCTCCTCGGTGTTGCTGAGCTGGCATTATCTTTCTCCTCTAAGTTTGGAGGTAAGTGTTGCATTAATGGCATAGCCTCTAGGATTATTTCCACTCTGAACACTCTTGTAAGTGATGTCAGGCAGGCAGACCTTTTTGAGACCTAGTTTGCACAGCAAAGGCTTTCCCAAACTGAACTCCAGTTCTGCCAGAACATTTGGAGAACATCTGCATGCAAAGCTCCTCTACACTAGCAGCACCCTCCTTTCTGCTGACAGAATGAAACAATCTCTGCTGAGCCATCTGCTGCCTGCCTCAGTCCCCTTCAGTAGCTGGGGCCTTTCTAAGGTGCATTTTGTACTCTGGTGGCATAGCTCTGGGGTGGAGTCCTGTGGAGCTGAAAGAAGCACATGCCCTGACAGCTTGTTAGTGACAGCTGCGATCCACCACCATAAATTCCCTCAGCAGAGGGAGGGGAGTATAGACAAGACCCAGTTTGATCATCTGAGCCAGATTTTGAAATGCAGCTTCTAAAATTACAGCTAGGTTTTCCCCGACCACTTTTTGACTGCCAAAAAGCCCTGTTTGAAGATGGGGGCACAAACTGTTTCTGCCCAACAGAACTGTGTGATTGCAGGACTCATCCAGACTGAGTCTTTGTGTTCATTCTATTTCCCTCTCATGTAAATCCTTACTACCATCCTCAGCTCAGTTTTGGAGCCAGGGGCTTTTACAGCTTTATAAGTTTTAAGGTTGAAAGAAATTAGATTGTCTAGTCTGACCTTCTGTGTCAGAATTTCATGCCCCACATGAAGATACTAAGTGATAAAGAATCCCATACTTTCCTTGGAGAATCCCATATTTCCTCTGCAACACTCCTGCAAGCCTCATGGGTGGATCTAGGATTTTGAAATGTGTTTTATCACATATAAAACAACACATTTTTCTCCAGTGAAAAAGAAACTAGAAGCTTTACTAATATGCTGGAATAAATGGAATGAGTTAATCTGCAGCCCTGTGAAATAGAAGCTTCAGTACCAGGGGCAGCTAATAGACAGCAATCTTTACACACCCCAGAATTGCAAAACAAAGAATAGCTTGATTGGTGGAACATGAGGACCATTACAAAGAAGAGAGGGTCTTTAACACCTGTCGAATGAAGAGTTTAGAAAGGAGCAGGTAGATTACAATCAACTCCCTTAGGTAGTTGGTTTTCAACTTGGAGTGAAGCAGGAATCAAAGGGGGATGCAAGTGCCCCAGTACACCTGCCCTGGATCTGCTCCTGCCTAACCTCTGCTAATGCAGGGAATGAGAGCTAAGGAGACCCACTTTCTGAGCCAGGATTTTGATAGCCATCTACACATAGCTCCAGCACCTAGCTTCCTGTTTTTCAGAGGGATGCTTTTGGTCTTAGTACTGACATAGGGAGGATCTTACTGTGTGCTGGATGATCCTGGGTGGCCCTGCTGGCGGAACTGGAAGAAGTGGCTGGTAAACATATGTAGGTTCTGTTCTGTAGCTTTTACAGTGGCTTCCTCCCAAGAGCTGGGGCCTTGAAAGTTCTTCCAAAAACTGCTGCTCCTGCAAGATCAAATAATTTGGTAGCATTTGCCACAGGGAGAGCCTTGTAGTGTAAAGGCAGCACTGGGTGGAACTTGGCCTTGTTTAATCCTACCAACTCCACAGCAGGAGTGAATCTGATCCACCAGTATGCTGCTATGGGAACTCCTGGCATCATGCTGCAGAAACTAACAGAATGAGAGCAGTGATATAACATGCAGAGTTTATGCTGTCAGCAAACCCTGACAGGGAGCAGGGGTGTGGGAAGGGGGGTTCTGAGAGCAGGTGGAACATGCAGATTCTGAGAGCAGGGGTGGGTAGGGGAGTGCAGGAGTACCCAGTCCCTGGCTACTGCTGTGTGCTCTGCCCACCCTGCCTCTTGTCCTTACAGCAGCATCAGCACTGGCTGCTGCTACAAGAGCAACAACACTATGAAGATGCTCTTGCTGCCAGGGCACGGACTCTGCAGAGGAGATCAATTTTGGCACCCCTCCTAAACTGGTGCCCAGGATTGGTGCTCCCTCTTGCCCACTCCTGGTTATGCTACTGAATGCAAGTGACCATTCCATAAAGGAAATCACACAGCCACAAAACATCTTTTTTTTCCTGTGGCAAGGATTGTTGTGGATGTTTATCTTTTATTGGACCAACCACAGGGTTGGGATAGACTTGGTCCAATAAAAGATATCATCCAGATAAATCCCTGCCTGTCACAAATTTCTGTTTCTCACAATTTTCTGTTTCTTCTATGCATTTCCTTTACTGAGCTCTGGAAATAAAGACAATCTTCAAAAGTTTCAGGAAACATGGTTTTGTTAATAGCCAATTTCCCCCTGTTCCTGTTCCCCTTGCTCCTAACCCTCCCCCTACCCTGAAACAAGAAACCTTGTAAGAAGTAATAATACAAACACTCCTCCTGGCAGGTAATATTGAAAGACTCCAGTCAGGATTGGAGCCTTATTATGCAGGGTGCTAAAAAAAAATGTATCATGAAACATAGTGTCTACCCCAAAGAGTTTACTATGCAAGTAGCCAAAACAGATGAACAGATGACACACAAACAAAATAGTAGAAGTGCCAGTCTTGTTAGGTGTGTTTTTTTTTCCTGCAGCGTGAGGCCCAGCACCCAGGAGCCAGCAGCAGTGGTGCACCAGCTGAGAGGAGATGAGCCCTCGGTGCCCAGAGTGGGGCACAGGGTGGAGAGGAGTCCAGTGGCACAGGAGAGGCACTGCAGCAGAGGAGACCCCATCGAGCTGTGCCCTGACCACCACCACCTGAGGGAACATGAGTCATTGGGCCCTTGGGTCCCACAGGGGAAATACATTTGGGGCAGGCAAACCCAGAGAAGGGGCTGGGTGAGCAGCCGTGAGCAGCCCCCCATCTAGTCAAGGCCCTAAGGGGAGGGGCCCCTGGTGATTCCTGGACACCCCCCAAGTGGTGTCTCTTGCCATGGGTCAGGGATTATATTAAGGGATAGATGTTATTAAGATTGTTCATGTTTGCGGCTTATATTTTGTAATTGAAATGTTGTATTGTAATGCTCTAAATAGTGTTATTTAGGGTTTGACCTTGGTTATTGGTTGTTTTCTGTGTAAATAAATAAATAAATATACATAAACATAAAACTACATATTATATATATAATATTTAGCTTTATGTTTATGTATATTATAACTTAATAGATTGTATATAGTTAAGAACATTGGGCTTGGGCTAACTCTATGGAGGAAAGAGGGATCTGCTTGAAATTTTGGCATCCCTCTCACAGCACCCCCTCCTGCCTACCCATCTTATTCAATTGAGAATAGAGCACACCCCTGGGTGTACCTGGGTTACATTTCCATATTACTATTTCCCCTTCTTTACTAGGACCCCAGCTGCCTGTTTTGCTGGAGTGCTTAAAAGTACCCTCTTTAGTCATCCTTTCTCAGTCAAACTGAAAACTAAAAGGGCAGCAGAGAAACAGTTGGTGTCTGTCTAAAACTTTGTTGAGGATCCTTCTTCCTCAGGGTCTCTTGTGGTGGAGTGGAAGACATGAAACAAAGGGACAAGCATCAACATGGTCTCTCCTGTCTTCTCAGTCCCTATAGCTCCATATCTCTGTTCTTCCTCAGGCCACTTAGTGACTGCATTTCCCAAGTCACTCTGCAGACTGAGGGAGGATTGCTTTACCACTGCCCTCCTATTGTGGTGCTTGGGTCTGTGCCTGATAAAGGAATTTGCTTCCAGGGGCATCAATACTTGCTTTCCAAGGTAAACTCTATAAGAATTTGGGCAGAAGTTAGTTTCCCCTGCGCTTTTCTTTGGATGCTCTGTTTCCCTGCTTACAAACCCTATGATATACCTTGGACACATCACTGGATGTGATTCCAGCAACAGACTCTCATACAAGTTCCTAAATAGCTTTAGGGAGTAAACTGCTGCCTGAACTTCTGAAGCATGTCTTGGGCCAAAAATCTTTGTCTTCCTTTTAAATCTGCATTCTTTATCCCCACCCAGTGAAACAATGTTTCCATAAACCTAGGAACAGGTTGTTAAGTGTAACAGTTGTGTTTTCTCCTTTAAATTCTGTGAATGAGTTCTACTTCCTTTTGACATTTCATGGGTTCATCTACATGTGCAATTAATGTAAAGCAATAAACTGTGGAGCAATTTGAGCCAGAGTAAACTACTCCTGGGCACGGCATCTACATGTGTGCCTGGGACAACAGCAAGCTGAGTAAAGGCAGAGCAGTTTATGCCAGGGTTGCTTCTGCCCTGCTCTGTCCCACGTTCTGGGTGGTGGTGTTGGGTGGCAGAGGGGCTGACTGGGGCATGAGGGTGCTGCACATACAGAGCAATGTGGCTAGGCTAGGAGTCTGGGCTCCTGCTAGCTGGGCTGACAGTGCAATTTATGCCCATGGTCAGCTTCTACACTTGCATTTAATCACAGTAAATGACTCCACTGTAAGATAGTGCTGTTTTTAATAGTACTATTTTACTGTGGAGTAAATTAGTTTACTGTGGCCTAATACCATTGCATGGGCAGATGGTGATGCTTTACTCAGCAGTAAATTAGTCTACTCTGCAGTAAAACAGATGTGTAAATGCAGACTTCATTAAATTCTTGGATCTCAAGAGATTAGCAATCCTGGATCCTCTCATTACCCATGCAAGCTGGAAACAACTATAATTAATGCTATTGCTTGTGTGTGAAACACACATGTTCAACAGGACCTGGTCTAACTGAAATCCCTCTCAGCAATTGCCTGTTAGTAAAGAAGACTCTTACCCTAAGCTCCTGCAACAGGTCTTTCCTCCGTCTCAGTGCACCTTGCAATGCATCCTCATGTCCTTCATTGCTCCCTAACAGAGTAATAGGATAGTCTGTTACTTCTGTCAGGAGAACTTAACATAGCACTGTTACATACAATTGCAATGATGAGTTAGTTCTGGAAAACGGGATGCCACAAAGTCTGGTTACTTTTCCCAGAAAAAAAAAAGAATCTTTTCTGTTACCACTTCGGAATCCTGTAGCAAGAATAAGCAAAGACTTTACAGTGCCCAGTGTATCCTGTGTGTGATGGTAATATAAAAGCTCTACCAAGGTGCTGCTCAGACACAGCTGAGAATCTGGCTTTATCTATTGTCTTGGACATACAAAAATGGAAGTCAGGGTTGGGGGAGGAGGGGGTTGGAAGTGGGGTGCAGGAACCATAGAAATTCCTAATATTAAAAAAAATCAAATGGTTGCATACAATACTTTGGTGTATTCTAATTGCCCAGTGAACCCTTGCATTTCAATCTAAGGCTGATTTGAAGACACACTGACTTTGGTAGGGTGTAATAAGACAGCTTTTACCTGGCACTCAGAAGGATGTGAGCAGGAAGCAGAGTAGCCTGCAGGTGACTGCACTCCCAATCAGGGCACATGACCAGCAGAAGACTGCCTGATTGGGAGCAGTGCCCAGCTGTTTGTAATAAAAACAGGCCCTGAGCAGTACAGCTAGCTCTTTGTTGCAAGCAGCCAGGAGAAGAACATCATCCAGCTAGAGCTCCTCCTCCTCGTATAACAGCTAGGAGGTACAGGGTAGGAACTATGGGGATGGTTGGAGGTTCCTGGTCCTGGGTCATGGCCTAAAATTATACCCTGCTGGGGCTGGATGGTGTGATGGGACTGCTAGTGGTGAGGCACACACCAGGAAATGCCACACCTGTGCCTCCCCAGTGAAGGTTGAGTATGGGGCACCAGAAAGCTTTAGCCCCCTGCTGCCTTGTGGGTTACTCTGAATAGGGGCAAGGCTAGGGGAGCACCCCCTGGAGTAAAAGCATAAGGCCCAGGCAGTTGGAGTGAGGCCTGAGGCAGGGTCCAGGCTGGAGAAGAGGACCTGTGACTGAGCCCAGGTCTACAGTGAGGCCTGAGACTCAGAAAAGGAGGGTAGGAGATGATTGTGGGGGCACATGAGATAAGGCCCCAATATGGGGGTGTGTAAGATGACTGCTTGGGATTGAGAAGCCCCAATGTGAGGGCATATGGGATGAGGCCCAGTGTGGGTCATGAGGGGACCAAGAGGGAGCCTGAGAGAAAGGGAGGGGCTGGGAGCCTCTAGTGAGTGTGAGTGAGAGTCCCCATGTAAGGGCACAGGGATTGAGAATCCCAGCATGAGGTACTGGAGTGTTAACTATGGATGCCAGCTGTGAGGTATGGGACATGGTATGAGGGTAAGTTCAGAGCCATGTATAGGCCCTTGGCATCAGGGCAACTAAATGGGCAGCCTCCTGCCTTGTTAACATCTTCCAAATTAATTTCATCAAAGGTGTGGCAGATGAGCAGTTTGCCTTGAGCCAAGTAGGCAGGCCAACAACTGGACTGGCCCTGGGATGCCCACTTGTGGTGTCCTGCCCTATGTAACATGGTGAAACCAGTCTTTCCAGCTGAAGACCATAGTATGTGACTCTGTCAGCACCTCCAAGTGCTGCTGCTTGGCTGAACAGAGGAGTGGCTGCTGGATCAAGCCTTTTACCTGCCCCCCAGCTCCTTTCGAGGTGCTGGCAGACAGACTCAGATGCCTGGAATTTGCTAAGGTAGCACCAGTATGAGTCAATTATCTCTGTATTAGAACATCAACATCCCTTTCAGCAGATCGGTGACCAGGCAGATTCTGACTACCTACTTGCTTCAAGGGGCTGGGAGCTGGAAGAGTATGTGTGCGCGTGTTGGGGGGAACAGGGAGGAGGGATTAGGGTGTGTGATTAGAGGGGCTTCTTATAGCTATTAAGGCCAAGAATAAAATTTTTGACTATCTAGTCTGACTTCCTCCATAACATTGGCCTGAGAATGCCAGCAAGTGGTTCCTGCATCCACTCTGTAATATGTGGTTAAACTTGAGTAGATTTTTAAACTTACTTGCTGTGGGGAGTGGTGAATCAGTCTTCTCCAGGTTCTCACGTTCATTTTCTAGTTTCTGTGAATAAAGCCATAATAAGTGGATAAAAGTCAAGGACTAAGAACAGAAACATCTTCTGGCTCTGTATCACAGACCTCCTTTTTGAATGTCGGGGGGTGGGGAGGAGAGATTTGGAGCCAAAGGACACTTCTCTGTTCTTAACCATTACACTTGCTACATATCTGCAATAGGGAAATTAATCCAGTACCCTGCTACTGGCTCCTTTCTTGGAAAGAGCTAGGGACCCTCAGGGTTACCCCCTGCCTCAGCTGAAGTTGGAGGCTACAGAGAGCTGTTACATATACACAAGGCTAGATCCCTCATGAAAATGTAGGGTCTTTTGAAATCTATTCCAGCTGCCAACAATCCCAAGGGGTTGACACAGGACTAAGTGAGAACTTGAGAGGCAGCAATATGCAGTCAGTACATGGGTTCAAGGTGGGTCTTTTACTTCATCAGTTTACACAGCTGTAGGCAAAGAGTTCTGAGATGCATATGGAAATAAATAGAATTTGCTTAAATGGGACTGGATGATGTACATGGTACAGGTCAAGATCTGTGTTTGGGACTCTAACAGCAAGAGACCATAGATTCATAGATGCTAGGGTCGGAAAGGACCTCAATAGATCTGTTAAGGTGACTGTGTTTGGATCTTGGGGAGCATTGGATTTGCAGCTGAATAAAGGCTTTAATCTATGACCTAGTGGAGCTGCTAACCACAAAACAGAATTAATATATTAAAGTAACATTGCAAGACACTTAGGCAAGCATTTTCCTAACAATGTCATAGTATTGTAAGACCTGTATGATTCATTGTGTAAGGAGAACAGGATGTAGCCCACCAGCTATTGTTAGGAGATGAGCAAAAGCAAAACCTTTGGAGATGGAGTTGGCAAGAAGCCATAACTGACTAGGAGAAGCTGGGTTCCTGGCCTTGAGCATGTGCACATAGCAAAAAGGTATGTAAATGAATGACATGCATAGGCAATTCCATGCTAATGAAGTAAACAGTAAACAGAGGCAGAGCTTGAGATAGAGGCAAAGGTGGAGTAAATGTTAATGAGCATGAACCAAGGTGTATAAAATGTGAGAAGAACTAATGTTCACTGCTGCTCCCTGTTTGTTTTTCTTTTTTGGGAGGTAGCCCAAAGCTGTCTCCATTTTGAATAAAACTGTTGCAAGCAATGTGTGCTGGTGTTTGCTCCCTAAGCAACTGGATTCTGAGCAATTGGATTGTCATCTCCCTAGTCATTAGGTGCCACATGGAGTTGGGGCCTAACAAGATTATTGAGTCTGACCTCCTGCCTAGGCAGGAAAGAGTGCTGGGGTCAAATGACCCCAGCCAGATGCCTATTCAGCCTTCTCTTAAAGACCCCCAGGGTAGGGGAGAGCACCACGTCCCTTGGAAGCCCATTCCAAATTTTGGCCACCATCACCGTGAAGAAGCTTTTCCTGATATCTAAATCTGGTCTCTGTCAGTTTGGGACCATTGTTCCTTGTTACCCCAAGAGGTGCCCTGGTGAACAGAACATCTCCAATCCCATGCTGCATTCCCCCAATGAATCTGTAGGTGACTACAAAATCACCTCTCAGCCTTCTCTTGCAGAGGCTGAAGAGGTCCAGGTCCCTCAGGTTCTCCTCATAGGGCTTGTTCTGTAAGCCCCTAACTGCACATGTGGCCCTCCTCTGGACCCTCTCAAGTCTATCAACATCCTTCTTGAAGTACAGTGCCCAAAACTGGACACAGTATTCCAATTGTGGTCTGACCAGTGCTGCATAGAGGGGAAATATAGATCCAAGGAGGTGATTTGTTATGCATCTGCTGATGTATGATATAGTCCAGTTAGCTTTGCTGATGATTTCGTTACACTGGTGACTCATGTTCATCTTGGAGTCCACTATGACTCCAAGAT